AAAAAAAAAAAAAAAAAGCCCTTTGGGACAGGGACAAGGGGAGTGAATGGAAGGTGGGCATGGGCTTGATTATGGGGGGAGCCTTGCTGGCCATACAGGGAATTTGGATTTTATTGGAGATACAAAGGAAGCCTTTGGAAGGTTTCACATGGAGGGAACTGTGCTCGCCTTGCCTTCTCCTAACAAGACCACAGGGCTCACAGCTGTACCCACATCAGGGGGCTTGGTGCTGCTGGCCAATTTGGAGCAGCTGAAGTTGCCTGCTTGTTCCCCAGGGCACCACGTCCAGTCTTATCTGGAGGGCCTGCCTGCTTCTTCATCTTTAAGAAAAGAACTGCTTATTGTGATTATAAAAATAATTTGCATGTATTATTATTATTATTATGTTTTGGATGCAGTCTCGCTCTGTCAACTCAGGCTGGAGTGCAATGGTGCCATCTCGGATCACTGCAACCTCCACCTCCTGTGTTCAAGCGATTCTTGTGCCTCAGCCTCCCTTATAGCTGGGACTACAGGCACCAGCCACCACACCCAGCTAATTTTTGTATTTTTAGTAGAGATGGGGTTTCACCATGTTGGCCAGGCTGATCTCTAACTCCTGACCTCAGATAATCTGCCTGCCTTGGCCTCCCAAAGTGCTGTGATTATAGGAGTGAGACCCCTCACCCGACCCTGTGTAGATCTTTAATTTCTTTCAATAATAGTTTATATTTTTCAATGTATAAAGCCTATGCTTTTGTTACATTTATTCTTAAGTATTCTTTTTGATGTTATTGTATATTGAATTTTCTTAATTTTCAGCTTATTTACTGCTAGTATCTGCAATGATAATATTTGTATATGAATCTTATCTTGCAAACTTGCTGAACTCATTATTTTTAATAGTTTTTTAGTAGATTCATTAGGATTTTCTAGGTATGAAATCTTGTCTGTGAAGAGAGATAGTTTTACTTCTTCCTTTTCAATCTGAATATCTTTTTATTTACTTTTCTTGCATTAAATTCCTGGCTAGAGACTCAGGTATCATTTGAATTGAAGTGATGAGAAAGGACAGCCTGGTCTTCTTGCTGATATTAGAAGGGAAACATTCCATCTTCCTCCATTAAATATTGTGTTGCACTGGATTTTTATAGATGCCATTTATTAGGTTGAGGAAATTCTCTCATAGATTATGGAGTATCTTTATCATGAATGTTAGATTTTGTCAAATGTACCTTCTATATCTTTTGAGACAATCATGATTCTTGTTCTTCATTCTATTAATATGGTGTATTATATTGACGGATTTTTATATGTTAAATCAATCTTTCATTCTTGGTCTTGGGGGGATGTGTGTATGTACCTAAATATATACCGTGACCAATTAGGATACACACACACATGCATACACACACACAGTCCTTTTCATGCTTACTAGCATTGTTGAGGATTTTTACACCTGTATTCATAAAGAATGTTGGTCTGTAGTGTTCTTTTCTTGTGATATTTCTTTGTCTGCTTTTGGTATCAGGGTAATATAGGTCTCATAGAATGAATTGCGAAGTATTCCCTTCTTTTCTGTTTTTTAGAAGAGTTTGTAAAGGATTGGTGTTAATTATCTTTAAATGTTTGATAGAATTCACCAGTGAGACCATTTGGTTCTGGGTTTTTCTTTATTTCTGTAAGGTCAGTAGTGAGGCCCATCTCTCTCTCTCTCTTTTTTTTTT